AAAGCATAATTATGCTCAGTGGAGACGAACTATTAGGAGATATGTTTCTAGCATTGACATGGGGGATCATTTGACTGAGAATCCACCTATGGATTCACTTCCACAAACAAGGAGCGATAAGCAACCAGAGGGTAGTGATAATAAATTAGAGTGTTAGGAGAATTCGGAAGAAATGGCTCATAGAGGATGATAAATTGTTTAATCAGATCCAGAATACTCTGGATTCCACAGTAAATGATGTTACTAATCATTGTGATATAGTTAAAGAGTTATGGGAGTATCTAGAGTTTCTGTATGCTAGTAAACAGGATTTGTCTCATGTTCATGAGTTGTTGTTGCAGATTTATAGAGCAAATATACAAGAGAAAACATTACTTGAATACTATACAGAGGTGAAGCAAGCCTTTCAGGAAAACCGAGTTATATTCCCTGTGACTGTAGATGTTGTGCAAATGAAAGAACAAGAAGAGCAAGTGGTGGTGTAGTGTTTTCTGGCTGGGCTGAGACCAGAATATGAGATAGTTCAGACACAACTCCTTACTAGTGACAAACTTCCTTCTCTAACGAAGGTTTATGGCTCGTCTTCTTTGGGTTAGTAAAGGGGAAGATAGATGAGCATCTAAAGACAGTGAGACTCTTCAGAATGTTGCTCTAGATCATGCGGCTCTTGCTAGTATAAAGTCTAATAGTAGTAGAGGCAACAAACGGGCTAGTCGAGATATTAGGAGTACTCGTGGCAATGGTAATGGTCCTTGTACTTGCTTCCATTGTGGTGCTGAAGGTCATGTCAAAATGAATTATTGGAAGTTACATGGAAAGCCTCCAACTCTGTCGAACAATCAGAATTATGCTCATGTTGCCGCTCAAGATGGTACTTTACCTATTCCTTCATAGGTTACTATATTTGTAGATGAGTATGCTCACCTCACTCAGGTAGCTAGCCCCCAGTCATCCATTCCACCAACTGCTGCTACATTAACTCAGCTTGGTAATCCAATAGCTTGTATATCTACTTGTAGTCGTAATTGGTAATTGGGTCATTGATTCTGATACACGCATTCTCTCCTCACGTACACCTTCTTCAGTTTTTTTTTTTCATCCACCCCACCCCCAACAACTACACTATAAACATCCCCCAAATCTCTCATTTTTTCCACACCACTCAATCTCTCAATCTCTCTACTTTCTATTCCAAATCTCCAATCAAATTCTCATTCAATTTATATTTATATTTATAATTTATTTATTTATATCATTCAATTTTTTCCATTTTTCAATATCATCTATTATTCATATTATTATTCAAATTTTTTTCATTTTAATTATTTATTATTTTATCATGAATTCGTAATGGATTCCCGAAATGATGCATTCGGAGGATCATCCTAAATGAGTTTTACATTCCATCCACCGAAGAAATGGAAGGGTTCAATCCATTTTCACCATTTCCTCCAGAGGCAGCAACTGCAATTTAACAACCACATTCGGTCGGGACGAGGTGCAGCAAAACGCAAGCGAGCTATAACTCAACGGGCATGGGCATAGGCCAACTGCCCTCAACTGTCAAAGAGGGTTGTGTCTGATGTATGGCGACACTTCACCAAATCAAAATGACCAAAGACAAATGGGGAGGGGGAAGAATCGTGTGGGTTATGTAATTTCTGTGGAACCATTATTGGCACTAAGAAGGGGACTTCGACGATGCGACGACACTTGAAGAAGAAGCACCCCCAAATAATGCAGCTGTCTGGTACATGTTCAATTGGATCAGGTAGGCAAATTCAAACTCAACTTAATTTTAATCCATAATCCTCAACTCTCTCAACATGGCAATACAATGCACATGTTGCACGAGAGGAAATAGCAAGATTTATAGTTGCTACAGACTCTCCCATTTGTTTATCTGAAAATCCTTATTTTATTCACATGATTAAAATTACATTTTTTTCCAGCATATATCCTTGTTAGTAGAAGTACAAGTAGAAGATATATACTAAAACTTTATAACAAAATAAATAATAAACTTAAAAACGAATTTCAAAATTTTAGGAATATATATATTGCACTTACATCAGACATATGGGCTTGTAGATCAAAAACAGATTTTTTAACTGTCACCATACATTTCTTAGATCATAATTGGGGTTTACAACAAAAATTGATTGGTTTTAAACCATTATATGAAACATAGTGCTAACACTATTTATTTTACAATTCTTGAAGTTTTACAAGAATATCTATTAACTGATAGAGTTGTAGCACTAATGCTTGATAATGCAGCTACTAACACTATGGCAATCTCTTTATTTGAAAAGAGATTGGATCCGCGTGGTGAAGGAAAAAAATTTCACCAAATATGTGCTTGCCACGTCATCAATTTGATTGTTAAAGCAGGTTTAGATGTTATACATTCAAAGATGGGGAGGGTGCGCGTGCGTGGCTATCGGATTTATCATCGGCGGCAATAAAAGATGGCAGGAGTATGTCAAATATTATAGGCAAGAGGACCCACCGATTCGACCTTTGAAGTTATGTACAAACATGCCTATCTGTTGGAACTCCACGTTCTTGATGTTAGAAAAAGTTTTGCCAACCGCAAGACAAATTACAGATTTCGTCAACCGGAAGAACTATCTAGAGGAAGTTATCATCTATGATGATTGGGTAGTTTGTGAACTTTTTTATTCATTTCTTAAATATTTTTATGATTCTACTAATACATTAAATGATATTTATTATCCGACTACTAATTTAGTGTTAGATATTTTACTTCAAATTTCTAAAACTTTTACTAAATATAGATATAATGGCATTTTAATGAAAATTGTTTCAAATATGGAAGAAAAATACGAGAAATATTGGTTAGATATTTCATTCTTATATAGATTAGGCCTTGTTATAGATCCTAGGTTTAAATTACACGTAGTTAACTGTATAATTAATGAGATAGGTCAGCATTTAGGACATGATTATACGTCTTATTTGACTAACTTTAAGCAAAAATTAGAAAGCCTTTTTTCTTTATATCAGAACAGGTACAATGGAAATTGAAGTGGAACGTTCATAAGAGACAATCAAGACCCTAATGTAGACCTCCATCAAGGATCAAGTAAGTGAACGTATATGAAACATAGCGGAAGTAGCGGCTCCAACTCGTACGTACATGGACCAAATGAGCTGAATTGCTACCTACAAATGGACTTGTCCTACATGACGATGAAGGAGAAACGTGAGATGGATTTGCTTCAATTGTGGAACCAACATGAAAGTCGATTCCCCATTGTAGCCCAAATGGCACGTGACATTTTATCTGTGTCGGTTTCTACAATTGCATCAGAGTCAGCATTTTCAACGAGTGATCGAATTGTTGAAGACAGAAGATGCTCTTTAACCAATGAGATGATTGAAGTAATAACATGTTTACGAGATTGGACTCATGCAGAAAGAAGACTACAACAGCACCCTGAAGATCCCGAACTACTCGAACTCTTTAGGAACACTGATTTTAATGATTTAAATATTGTTGACAATGAAGATGAATAATTTAATTGTTTATTTGTGAACCGTGAATGTGTGATTGTGTGAATATTACATTTATGTTAAAATTAACTATTATTTTATTATTTTTAAAATTAATTAAACTTTTAAAAACTTACTAATCTACCCCTGAAAATTATTAAAACCCCCTACAGAATTTCATTTTGCCCCTAAAATATAAAAAAAAGATAAGGAGGGAAAAAATTTGCAGGCTCATAGGACCGGTCCGGGTCCTAAAATTGCTCATGGGCCTGAGACCAGTCCTAGGCCCATGAGCGACTAGTCCCAAATGGGACCAATCCCAAAAAGACCAATCCCAATAGGCCCAGGCCCGGGCTCGCTTGGGACCGGTCCTTGACCATGTCTATATATAGCCAACAATCTAGTTTTTCATGAGCGGACAAAGCATATAGAAGTCGATTGTCATTTTGTGCGAGAGAAACTCAAACAGAAATTAATTTCCACTAAGCATGTTAGAACAGGGGAACAATTAGCTAATTTTTTTTACTAAGTCTCCAGTTGGAAAAAGGATAACCTATATTTGTAACAAGCTGGACATGATAGATATATATGCTCTAGCTTGAAGGGGAGTGATGAAAGTTATGTGTATAGAGTTAGGGATATATGTGTAAATGTAAGGTAGTGAAAATATATATAGGGTGTAATATTATTTTATTTGATTATTGAAAAAACTACAATAGAATATTTTATTACAGTATTGTTGAAAATCCTCATCATTCAAGACCATACATCTTTGTGTAATGAAGAATTTTTTTCAATACAGAAGAAAAGAGACTAGGTGCTGAATTGACGAATCAATATGAGAAGTTATTCCATTGGCATTTGACTGAGAAACCATGTGCTGTGCTCCGACTGCTACCCACAAAGATTGGACGACAATGATCAGAATTTTATATGAAAAAATGCCAACTGATTTCAACTGTTGGAATCAGAATTGTCTTCCCGCTTACCTAATTTTGTTGAGGAATCAACCAACTAATATTCCATCTGACAATGAAGGAGGCAATAAGAGAGATTTGAGTTTGACACTCATAGAAGCAAACATCAACTCCTCAATACCCTGATTGATACTGACTTCATGCCTATCAATGCCTCAACTTCAACTCACCCCCTTTCGCCAACAGTTCCTAATCATTCACAACCCTTCATCAAAGACTCAAAGTTAGAGAAATTTGATGAATAAAATCATGTCCAATTTTGTGATCATTCGCATCTGCTGCTCTGTATAAGTTCATAGCATAGAAATGGCGATAGTCATAATAGGTAAAGGGAAGAGGAAATCTTTTTACTAGTTGTGTAAAATGTGATACAAAAGTTACTTTACAAGCCAAACTACAAAACTATGCCTTCACCCTCAAACAACTTGGAACGTTTTTATTGACACTTACCAGTCACCTGATACCAACGCGACGGCCTGGACTGGCATTTTTTTTTTTTTTTCCTTTTTTCTCTTTTTCACTGTACCTTATTTTATCTTTTCTACAGAGGAAAATTTGTTCTCACAAACCTCACAAAAAGGAAAAGCTGTAAACAAAACAATCATTTTGAGGAAACTTCAGAAGTACAACTGGGAATAGGAATATCAGTTGGCGTGCATACCAGAGCCCTTTGCTGTAAATGTCTTAGGCTCTGTTCCATGCTAACTTGTACCATCTCAGCCAACATCTTTTTTGCTTTTCCAGACTGTTCATCTCCATCCATTTGAGAGATTATATTACAAACAATATTCTCCAGAGTATCAGGTTGAAGGTCCGATCTTGTTTGGGGAGAATCCCTCAATAACCGCAAAAGGGTTTGTGCTTTTGTCTGAGACTTGGGCGTTCCTTGAACTGTGAGCTCAAGCAGACCAGGAATCACACCTTCTCTAAGAATTGGTTCTCTATATTTACATCGGTCACTCTGACACATCATAAGTAGTGCCCCAACTGCATGCTCCCGACCTTGAAGAGATCCATTTTCAAGCACTTCAACGACAGCAAACACTCCACCTTCTTCAGATGTCAATGCAATTCTACCCTCATCAAATGCCACTAATGATTCTATAAGAGCACTACATTTCTCAGCTGTTTTTGATGATTTTTTACAGAATTTGAGCAAATTAACTATAGATGGGATCGGATTTGTTTCAAGAATGATGCTGAGATTATCCGGGTGTGTTGAGAGATTTGAGAGAGCCATTACAGCATCAAACTTGGATTGTTGGCTTCCATGTCTAAGGATTTCAACCAGGAGAGGGATGGCACCAGAAGCACTTATAAATGGCTTGTTCACAGTAGAAGCAGACAAAGTGAGCAAAGCTGCAGTAGCAGACTCCTGTAGGTTCAAATTTTGAGACTGAAGGAAATTAATTATTGGTTCTAAGGCCCCAGCTTCTACAATACTGATCTTATTCCTGCAAGATAAGATGACAAGAATTAAATAAATCCGTCTGCTCTCAAAGTGGAACGTTTATGAATCAAACACCGTTAAACCTTCAATTCACAAGAGAATGAACAAAGCTAATAACAGATCAAAGCTAAGCAACACAGTAAGTTTTTTTCCTAGTTTAAAATACTTAGCACACCGGCATTTTTAGTGTCCCTGACATCATTGTGGACATTAGACCTTTGACTGAAGAGATCATTCAAAAAAAAAAGTTCCACTAATAATGGTCACGGAATCACATATCCAAAAGTTTTCCACTACCTACATATCTGCAAGAAGGGTTACATAAAACCAAAAGATGTTGTCCTACAAGATTTATTTTCCAATATCAACCCTAAAATGTCTTGCCTAAATCCTATATCATCAATTAAAAAAAAGGTGGTCAAAATTTTCGCCCCAAATAATTCAGAGCTTCTATGCAGTATTATTTAACAAAAATCAAATCTTTTTAATAGATCTTACTGCATAAAAGTAAGGGACATAATAATCTAGTACAGAGGAGGTCGGTGACATCAACTCCATTTTCAGTTTATTTCATATCCCAGTGATTCCGTGATAAATAAATCCTATTACTTCACATTTGATTGCTAAAAAAAACAACCAAGTTTTAGTTTAAACATTTTGATTAAAAGGGAATAAAGAGAAAGAATAATATGTTTCTCTCTCCAAGAAGGTAAAGGGAGTTCTCTCTCACCAAACAAGAACCCATTATTATGACATGATAACTTGAAAGAGAAGATAAAATTAAAAAAGAAACAAAAGCAAAATAAAAAAGAGATAAAAAGAAAGAGTAACATGTGAACCAAAGAACAAAATCCCAGCTTATTTATGCTTCAACCATAAAAGCTTCATCATCGTCTATTCAAATTTTATTTCTTTTTGTTTTCTAACAGGATATTAGAAGTCTTCGTGATTCGACCGACACTTTGATTATTATAATAAACCATTTGAATATTAAACAAAAATTAAGAATGGAATTGAACAACCAAATTAAACAGTCCATGATTCTGTGTTCATTCGCAACACAACAGAAAGCCAGAATAACAGAATTTATTTATCATATAAGATATTTTAGCCATCAAATTTGATGAGTCCGTTATAATTTAATAAGTAAATTCAAATATTCAATATCTTAAATTATTTAACTTGTCCCACAACTTTAAAAAAAAAAAAAAAAAAAAAGTAAAGATTTCTTTTTATGTTCAAATTGCTGAATCACGAGGAAAAAGTAAAAGAAAGAGAAACGTAATAAAATCTGAGGGAAGAATAATCATAAAAAATCTCCTCAAAATCAGCAAAAATAACATAATTCTCGGTAAAAACAAAATTTTCAAACAAGGACTTGCATATTTATTCAATTACTAGAAAACCAACAAAACTTGGAAAAACATTAAGGTAAAGAAATACGTACTTTTCATCTTTAACGGCAAGATTAAGGAGCGCGAGAAGAGCAGACTCATGATGAGACTCAGACGAGTGATCACAGAGCATTTGAACGAGAGGCTTAACGGCGGCGGCGAGCTGGCGGCGGCAGCGCTGAGAAGTCTTGGTGAGGCGGCGGATTTCTCTGGCACCTTCGAGCTTTAAATCAGAGTCGTGAGACTGAATAAAATTAAGCGCACGATGTACGGCAGAGAAGGAGGAAGAAGAAGAAGACGAAGAAGAGGAGGCACGTGGTGTGTCGGGATTGGTGTCGGAAGAAGAAGAGGAAGAGGAGGCAAGATTGTCAGAGGCGCAGTCCATGGGAAAGTAGCTGAAGGTGAAGCGGCTGGGCTTAGTAGATTGGTGGTGAAAAATGAAAATATAACAGAGAGAGGGAGAGAGAGAGAAGGGAGCGGTGGTGTTGGCGTTAAGCAACAGTTTGGTTGTTTAAGTTAAAGGTATTTCTGACATGAGGAATGGGGGGATTGGGGGCAGGTGGTGTTGTTGTTGTTGTTGGATTTTGGTAGTTTGGTAAATAAAAATAATAATATTATTATATTATTTACTTTTTTATGTTTCGTATAGGATCCGTAACGTTATCTTGTAATTATGTTATAATTAAAAGGTTGGGACTTACTGTTGATGCGCTATATTTCAATTCAAATCAAATCATACCCTACTCATAAATATCTCATTTTTTTTACATTTATTCTATTAAATTTTATTGTTATTAAAAACACTCTCAAATTTATTAAAAAATTCATGAAAAAGTATATAAATAATGTAATAAATTTTATTAAAAATTATTCCTCGTATTGTATTGGAAAACAACGTATTAATTTAGGAAAAAAAACTCAAGAGTTGAATAGATATATGCCAAAACAATTAATTCATATCAAAATCATTAGTTATTATATTAATTTATTGGAGAGAAAATAAAACAAACAATGAAATTTCTATGTTCATATTATATTTATTTATTGAATAGATATAAAACACAAAATGAAATTATTATATTAATTTATTTAATAGACACTTTTTTTTTCTCTAAATAATGAAATGATGTGTTAGAGACAAACTATTTAATACAAACCACTCTTGGGTAGCCGTTTGGTTGAAGAGAGACTCTTGAGGTATTACCTAAGAGGTTCTGAGTTCGATTCACTTTTGTTGCTGATAGGAGTAATCATTGGAAGTTTACCCAACCGTTAACTTCAGACCTCTGGGGTTTGCTAATAGGAGTGGCCACCGGAGATTTACCAAGTTGGAGAATTAGTTAAGATGCATGCAAGCTGACCCGAACACCCCTGTCACAAAAATATATATATAATACAAATTATAAACTAGTGATCCAATGAAATCAAAGACACAATAAGTTACTAAAAACAATTACCTCTAATTTCAGTTTTAAATCTATTAAATCAATATCTAATAATTAACGTTACAATAGAGTAATTATATGGGTGAATTACTCAATGATAAAGTACTTAAAATAACAATATATTAAATCTATCTCATTAATATTAAATCAGATTTTTAAAATTATTATCTAAGTTATATTTGGGTATTTATTTTAATATTTTAAATGTTGAAAATGTGAAATTCAATGGAATTAGGCGTTACTTTGAAGTTGCATAAAATTTGGTTCAACAACATTATCATGATTAAAATTATAAAATGAATATTTAATTGTATAAAATAAATGTTAAGAGTAGTGAAAGATATGATAATTATGTTTGCTAATACCGTGAGAAAAGTGACAACTTTATTTTTATTTATTGTCTAAAATTTAGGATCTGGTTAGTGATAACGAAATTGACTTTAAAAAGCTTAGTCGTGAGGTTATTAATTCGCCTAATTAAATGTCAAATGGCTGCATTGTTGAATGTTATGCCCACTTTTTAAGGGAAGCTCGTTATATTTATGGATCGAGCCAATAGGATTACGTTTTCCCAACATTTATTGACTTTTGATTTTTTATTATTTCAACTTATTTTACAAGGACAAAAGTGATTAATTAGACATAACCTTATTTTGTTTATAGCATTTCAAATATTACTCTTTATTTTAAAAAGAATTTTTCGTATAAATAAAAAATATTTTTATTAATTTTTAAATATAAATAATAAATTTTTTATTCAAATCTAATGTATTCTTTAAATTTAATGAAGATATTTTTTTATTTTTAAGAAAAATACTTAATAAAAAAGATAATTAATAAATAAAATATCTAGAAACTTACTATTTATTAATTAAAATTATGATATAGAGTTAAATTTGATTCAAAAAATTAAACTTAATTTTTAATTTATATTTAAAAAATAAAGAGTTTATTGTACCCTTATTTTTATGGATAAATTATTTATAATAAAATGTTTAAGTTATATAAAGAATCATTTGAAGATGCTCTTACATGCATTTGACTTTTTTTTTAGTAATATTATTTGTAGTAGTAAAAATCTTTAAATTATATCTTAAATTTCTAATAATTAATACTAAAAATGTGGATTTTTTTTAGCGGTATCACGTTATTCATGCCTAGAAAAGTGCTTCCTTGCTTACTGCGACGAAATTAATTAATGGGTTGAGCCGCTAAATCGGTTGACAAAAATATCTCACATTAATTGCAAATTCAATGCATAATATAAACTCATCCGATTATGTCATAATTAAACCAAGATTCAGTTAACAGTTCTTGCTGTCAGGCAGAAAATTTTAAGTTTGAATTGTAAAGAGATCTTTTCCTTGAAACAAAACTGACAATTACAGTCTAACCAAGAAAGTGATTCCAGAAGACAAATGATTTTTTTTTTTTTTTTTTTGGTTAATCATAAAAAACTAAAAGAGAACATAACAAAAATCTCTTCTTCTCAAATGGTCATGCAATTCAACCATTTGGATAAGTTATCCAGAAATTTTGTATTTGAATCCCACAAAATAATTATCCATTAGACTTATAGCGTATTCAATAAACTCTGAGAATTAATTAAAGTACTTGTAAACTATTCGAACACCTAGTTATATATATATATATAAAATAAAAATAAAAAAAAAGCCAATTCACATGCCCAAAATCTGAGGAATATATTCCCAAACAGTAACTAAATACTTTGTTCAAATTCAAAAATGAACTTTATCCTTCCAACAGTATACCCACTTTGATGTTATTTGATTTTGCATGTTCCATGTAAAAAAAAAGCTGCAGAACCAATAGTTTTTATCCTATAATACCATTGATTTTTTTATTTTTTTGTCATTTTCTACTTTTTCTTTTTTAAAGTCCAAATAACATCTTTTTTTTTTTTTTTTTAATTCATCGCACATTCCGTGGCCAAATTTGTTTTGATATTTTGTGATTTAAAATAAGATTTCAATTTCATTTTTCTCCCAATTAAATCGTTTAAAATTAAACTCATTTGCTTTATTTAAGCAGTAATAAATCTATGTTTAACAGAGGTTTTTATTTTTTTTAAATAATTTTGTTCTAACTTAAGTAGGAATGCGCATTTAAAGATGTTTCACCTTTTATTGTTCAACACGCTATGTAAACAAATTGTGCCTAACATTTAGAGGTGAATCCCATTAATTGTATTAACTCTAAACTTGAACTGACACTTTTTTTTTTCTTTTTAATAATCAATGTATCTTGAATGAGTTTATATGTACTTTAACTCATCTTGAAACTCTATCGCTCAACACCTTGTATTGAAAGACACCGTTAAGTAATTTAATTTCATGGTAGAGACGTCATCACACTACCGTTTGAGCGATGTGCGACACCTGGAAATTTTTTTATAAAGAGTTGATGGGTCCTTCTCTAAACGTTTGCCACTTGTGAGTTCTTAGAGTATAAGTTCAATTGCATGCATTATGATTTTCTAACCAAAAAAGGTGATTTCAATATCATTTGTAATTTCTTTATTAAGAAGCTTCGTCTCATCCTTGATCAATCATGTGTTGCAAAGTTTCACATTTGCTTTAACATTTTGATTGGCCCTTTCTTCTCCGATATTTATTTGGCATGTATTTTTTTTTTTTTTTTTTTTTAAGGTGCACTAAAGTTAAAGCAAATGAAACTGAAAGTAGCCCTTGGTGGCTTCCCATTCATACTTTAACTCTTTTTTAAAAGATTTGTTGTCTCTTCTAGGATTTTGCTTACACGCTAAAAGCTTTTACATTATTTATAACTCTTTGTAACCAAAATTCTAAACCTTATCATTATTTAAACTATAACCCTGACCCATGACCAATTATCCAAGTTTTTTTTGCCTTTTTTAATCAGTAGAAATGTTCAGATCAGTTTACGCATACCTCAACTCATAAAACTTAGTTTTATTTTTTTACCATCAGATTACCCAGTGATAATTACCAATTATCCAAGTTTTCGACCTTGGACTTCAATTTTTTCGTCTTTGATTAATTTTTTTTTTTCTTATTTAAGGAAAGTTGCTCTTATTTATTTGAACCTCTTCAATAATGGTCTAAAATTAAACTCAATTTTCCATGAAAAAATTATTTCAATGACAGATCTCACATGACATATATTTCAATTATTTTAAAAATCAAGTGCGACAATACATCGCATTTTACATGTGACATGCATTTGTTTTACTAAATAGATAATGAATTATGTGACTCAGACTTTGTAACTTATTTCATTTACTTAAGGGGCATATAAAGTAATTGTCAAGCATATCTTTTATATATATATTCAATCTTTATTTAATGTTGCTTCTCATATCCAAAAGTTATATAAAGTAATTGCCATGCATTTAAAGTATTTTCTAGAAGAAGAAAAAAACACATTTTTTTTCCTATTTTAAAACAATTTGGCAGGAAAAAAACTTCCAAAATTCATTCATCCCAAGACAACTAGAATTATAATAGTTTACCTAAAACAGTAACTCAAATTATATTTAGATAAAAATTCATATGTTTATTCACTAATCAAGCTCCAATTATATAAATATATTGATAATGATAGTTGAATTACCTTAAAATTAAAATATTATACAATATCATCTATCATCAAGTATTGAACTCTTCAGTCACTTTTGTTTTTTAATCAGAAAATTGAATTTGACTGAATTGGTTTATAAATTGAATAGATCTAATCAGTTAAATCTAAATAATATATTTATTTTTTTGTTATAAGTGTTAAGTTATTTTTATGTACATATTGATTTTATTACAAGCTCAAGCTCGAACTCGAACTCCTCACTATAGAAATTGAACCAACTCTATTACACCCCTCTATGCCCATTTGATGTTAAATTATCTATTACTTGAATAATGTTTTAAATAATAATAATAATAATAATAAAAAGTAATTACAAAGATAGTGAAATATAAGTTGTAAAACATTATTTCAATATAACGAGATCAATTCAATGATGATTAAGTATAAGGTAATACCATACTTACAATTCAATCTTACCAACTTTTTCTCATAACTCACGATATGACAACTCACAATTGGTCAGCTTGCAAATAAGTGT